GCACTCGAAGTGGCCAAGAGACTCATCTGACTCCCAAGGCCGCGGACGGGCATGCTAGGCCTGAACGAGGTCAAGGTAAAGAAGGAAGGAAGGCCATGTTTGCGTGATGCTGGGGGAGCCAAGATCCCGAGGCCCGGGGAGTGAGGGGAGGGGGGGTCTTAGTGTGGTCATTTCAGACAGAGCCACGGAGGGGGCAGCAGGAGAGGGAGGGGAGGCGGGGAGCACTCACCCTGCTCACCTGGCCCGCCCGCAGCAAGCTGGCGGCATCCAGGAAGGAGAAGATGTGCCGCATGGGCACGTCAGGCAACTGCATCTCCAGCTCCTGTGGCCGAGCCCACAGCCAGGCTCCTCTCCGCTCGGCAGGCTGCTCTGCATTTAACAGCGCAGCCACCTGCCCTGGGAGGATTCCCACCCGCAGCCCATGGGGCCTGGAGAGGAACAGGTTGCAGGTGCACCGGCCGGCAGCGGCCTCCACTTCTACCTTCTGATGAGCAGGCGTACTTACTTCAAGGAAGTTCAAGTTACCAGTTCGTTCTTTAGTGGCCGCGACTTTCCCAGGTATGTTTGCCTACCGCAAAGTCACTTTTTTGCTTGACTCGTGATTTTTGACCTTTCCTATTTAAAGCTGTGAATTAACTTTTCTCTCTCTTTTTTTTATTGTCTAAAGTTTGACATATGTCTCCTTTTTCTCCGATTGACCCCCCGCAGCCACTCCCACCCCAGGCAAGCCCCCACTGCCCCAGTGTCTGTGTCCCTTGGTTCTGAATTTTTGTTTTAAGTCTTGACTTTTAATACATGCAACCCCTCTAAATGGATATTATTCTGTCATTTAGTGGGGCGGCAAAATGATGGCTATGGAATGAAGGTCATCATATGGCATCTCTCAAAAAAAAGCCCTAGTGTCTTGTCTGTTGGTTATGCTAATATGCATGCCTACAAGTCCTTTGGTTGCTCTCTAATGCCACCCCCCCACCCACCCGCCCCTGCCATTTGTCTCTGGATCTGTTTTTGTTCATCAGTTTATGTTGTTCATTATTTTCCATAAATGAGTGAGGTCATGTGATATTTATCTTTCTCTGACTGGCTTATTTCACTTAGCATAATGCTCTCCAGTTCCGTCCATGCTGTTGCAAATGGTAAGAACGCCTTCTTTATTACAGCAGCGTAGTACTCCATTGTGCAGATGTATCAGTTTTTAATCTACTCATCTGCTGATGGGCACGTAGGCTGTACACGTAGGCTGTTTCCAAATCTTAGCTTTGGTGAATTGTGCTGCATATATCCTTTCTGATGGGTGTTTCTGGTTTCTTGTGAATTAACTTTTTCTGTATGGATTTCCAGCTGACATAGCAGCACATACTGAAAAGGTCATTTAGGGATTGAGAAGTACAGCTGGGCCCTGACCGGTTTGGCTCAGTGGATGGAGCATCGGCCTGTGGACTCAAGGGTCCTAGGTTCGATTCCGGTCAAGGGCATGTACCTTGGTTGCGGGCACATCCCCGGTAGGGAGTGTGCAGGAGGTGGCTGATCGATGTTTCTCTCTCATCGATGTTTCTAAATATCCCTCTCCCTTCCTCTGTAAAAAACCAATAAAATATGTATATTTTTTTAAAAGTACAGGTGGGTAGTTACAAAACAGTTGTTGGGACGTACAGTACAGCGTAGGGAATAGTCAGTGATATTGTAGTAAGTGTATGGGGCCAGGTGGGGACTGGAAAATCAAGGGGAACACTCTGGAAAGTATATGATTGTCTAACCCAGGGGTGGGCAAACTTTTTGACTCGAGGGCCACAATGGGTTCTTAAACTGGACCGGAGGGCCGGAACAAAAGCATGGATGGAGTGTTTGTGTGAACTAATATAAATTCAAAGTAAACATCCTATCTAATAAAAGAGAAACATGGTAATTGGCGTACGACCGCTACCCTTCCCATTGGCT